AGCAGGCCATGAGTGGAAACATACTAGTTTAAGAAAGATTTTGTTCTACAACATTTTTGTAAATTTGCCTATTTCATGCTGCCTTTTAAGAAATATTATCTACCAGAATGAGAAAACCAGGACCACAGAAGGCATAGTCTGTTCTTGCAAACAGTTTTAAAATTAAACTTTTTATCTTATGATCAACAAACAATGTATCTGACTGCTCGTTTTTTGATACACAGAAAATATAAGTAGCAAAGAATGCCTTTAAAAATTATTTCTAAGTTGTCTACATCACAATAGATTACTTTATTTAAAAATATCTCAAATTTCCTGATAATGCTAATTTTGTTATTTGGAACAAAATGTGGTTTAGCTTTTAATTCTTATATACTAGAAAATAATATTGAAAAAGAAATATCCAATGTCATTCTTTACAACTGTATAAATGGAATCTTATAATTTCCTAAAACATATTTAGCAATATCTGTTTCTATATCCCACTAAATATAGTATTTTTTCCCAGAATATTTTATTATAAAAATTTATACCATATTCTTGATTTTTTACATAGAATATGAAATTTTAGAATTGCTGATTAGTTTACTACAGAATTTCTGGCTTTTTCAGCCAATTTTACTTTTAATAATTTGGAATAAAAGAGTAGAGGAAGGTAGAAATAATGTTAAATTGCATTATATCACAATATACTTAAATGTAGATTATTAAAGTAAAACATGGATAAAACAATTCTTTATGTAGCTTGCATTTAATGCAATGTATAATATTATATTTCATCAAACAAAACAAAGTTTCCTTAGATGTTATATAAAATTAAATTTGCACAATGGTTTCCATACGTACGGGTTAATTTTTTTATTCCAAGCATTATTTCTGGCTGTGGCATGTTAATAAATAAGTGCTTTGTAACTGAAAACAAACAAATAAAAAAATCTTATAATCCTTAAGTCATAAGCTAATACCCAACAGGATACACCTAATCCTAAAAAAATTCAGATGCCTATCACTTACTTCAAAAAATAAAAACAAAATAAATCTTTAGCCATGGACTTTTAGATCTTCTCCATCAGTTAGCCCAATGTCATTATTTTAAAGGTGTTAAATAACTTCTTCAAACTTATATAACTCTTTTATGGCAGAGTCAGAATAAGATCCCCAAGTTTAATTCCCTTTTGCTTTTTACTATTCCATTCTTGAACTTCTTAAGACAGAATTATAAAAATGTTATAACTCAATTACCTATTACAAAAGAGAGCTTTATATTAGATATTAACCTACAATGAAGGAAGTGATTACAATGCTAAATACTAATATTCATCTAAGATAGCAAAGCAATGGCATTTACCTTAAATTTACGTCTCTGCTCTGCACAGCTGTTGAAGAACCACAAGTCTGTCTCATGGCTGTAAATGTAACAAGAACAATAATGCGACCAATTTTCATATCTAAACTAAATTAAGTAGATTTGTCATAGGCTAGAAATTTGATAATGTATTTTACAAAAAATTTAAATTTACAGATTATAGAAGTGTGCATGTGTGCATGTGCATGCAGGCATTTGTGTATGTGTGTATGGTATGTTAACTTACTCTTTCTAATCTGAAAATTAATATCATGAAATTGAGAGCATTAAGCATTCTCTTTGGCTAATGTTCCTCATTATGGATCACTATGGTATGTCAAGTCTAGGAAGTACAAGGAGTAGATGTAAATAAATAAAATGAATTAAAATGAGAGGCTGTCTTCAGTTGTTATTATTAGGGTATGTTTTCTGGGATACACAGTAAGAATGTAAAGCAGAAACATCTTGTAATACTTAGGTTAATATTAGCTCCCATTTGTATCACAATCTTTATATATTATTCATCAATATGTCATTAATCAATGTACGTACTGATTGGCACTATTCAATTAGTGATTCATGGAATGAATAGAATATGTAAACATGTTTCTCTCTCTATATATATATATTTAGATATCTATACATGAAAGTGAAATCGCTATTACAATTGGTACTCAAGCTTGTCAGATGTGATTTTTTCCCCCAGTTTGTATTAGACATGCTAATATCTATGTCATCTGTAGCACAAAAACCTGAAAAAATGTAAATGAAAAAATAATAGTAGATAAATGCTAGTCTTCTAGAAATAGACTCTGTACCATGTCACACTTCAAATCTGGCCACCACTTAACATAATTCAGGTGAATGTTAACAAGCAACCGAATATTGTTCTTGTGACTTGAGCCATCAAAACAGTTTTTTTAAATCCGTATTTTCTTTCAAACTTTATAAAATAGTTCTCTATCAAAAAGTACATTTTAAAATAAAAAACACAAAGTATCTCTTTTGGTCCTCTAAAGATGTTATGCCTGATATAGTAAGAACCATCATGATCTATTTACACCAAATACCTTGCCTTGCAAGTATAGATTTTGAAATATTTTCAATTATCCTCTTGAAATTTCAAAGATAATCTATACTAACTCTATTATAAAAGTTTGATTAAATGCTTAATTAAGTAGGAAAAGAACTAGATCATGAGAGAATAATACAAGAAAACTTTTAAAATCTTAATTTCATATTAAATTATTTTAAAAGTTTAACAAAAATATTCTACCTTTTTAAAAAATGTAAGTGGCAAATAGTGCACTTCACATTAAATCATATTTGCAGATGTAAGAATAAGCATTACCTAATATCCCTGTTTGACAACAGATGTGTAAACTAGTATAAAATGCTGTTAGGCTTTTATTAGATTTTTAATACAATCTCAGCATGTCTCCAGTGCTAAGCTTATCACGTACTATGAAATACTAAAACTGTAGGCTCACACCATATTAATTTCAATATATATTTTAGCAAACAAATAAGGCATTATTTCTAAACTCTCATGAAAACCAACTTCTCATTCCTATGATATTTTGGCATGAGATCCCATCAAAATTACCAAATAATACTAAAATGCTAGTTTTATAATCTAAACAATAGAGATATATTCAGATTAATATGCATCACAAAAGATGAAAAACAAGTGACACAATGAAAGTCTTTGTAGTAATGGTCAGCCACTGCAATTGTTAAAGGTATTTATGATACTTTAATCACTCTTTCATGCTAGAATAACAAAACTGGCCCAAAATTTTATTTATACAATTGGTATATGAACAATTTCTTATTTTAGAGCCATTAATATTCCCAAATTCCATGTGTGCTTTCTAAGAAAAACTATGTATATTTTAGTATGTCAAAGTATTAAATCTTGACTTTCAATACAACAACAGCAACAAAAAGAAAGAAAAAACTAAAGCCCAGCCATTTTTTTTCAGAGATACCCTGGTAACCAGTAATATAGAAACTTCTACTGGACTGAACTTTGGAGAAGAAGGAGCAACTGCAAATTCCTCTATTTTGTCAAGAAATGTGATAAAATAGAGTTAGGACAATATGCAGTGTTTTTCAGACATTCAAAATAGTAACTTCTATCTTTGGCGTATGTCATCAGCATCTAAATCTTCTTTTCTATACCAAAAAGAAAGCAAAATTCCCACTTTGAAGCCATAGGGAGGATAAACATTTCATTTGCTATCTTCTGTGACTTTTATGTAAATTTTTCTGTCATGTAAATGCATGGAGAGACTGTTGGAATGTGATAACTCCATGGAAATATTACACTATGGTTATAAGTTGGGGAGGAATATGATGGTGAGGAAAGTATAACACAGAATTATTGATTAGTTAAAACAAAAGAATGTAAAATTGATTTTAAAAGAGAAAAAAATTAAGAATTTTAAACTCAGGCTGATTCAATAAAACTTTCATTTCCAATCATGGCCGACATCTGTACTTTATAGACTGTTGAAACACTCATCCCCAAGTTTCTCTTCTTCCTACCCACCCTCCACAAATGATTTTGTCCCCCCCAAAAATATATTCTCATCTTCAATTTGTTTAGGGAACATATATTTAATCTAGTTTTAAGGTAATAAGTAATTTCTGGATCGTGTAGATCAGTAGCCTATAATTCTCTATCATACAAACTGAGCTTCAGAAGGCCATCATGTAAGACTTAGTTACTAACATCAGAGAGTACACCTGAAAATAAAAACAGAGAGCTAGGCCATTAATAAAAAAAAAACAACAAATGATTGTTTTTGCTAAACTAATTCAACAGTAGATGTCTTAAAAAAACAACTTAAATTTACCTCATTAGGCATGTATATAACACATGATTCAGGGAAAAGCATTGCTTATCTTTCAACAGAGCTGGTGAACAGTTTGAGAGAGGTGTTTTATGCAATTCCAAATTCTACCTTCCAAACATTTAAAGAATACACCTTAAAAATGTTTTCCCCCCCAGAAAATGTCTAATATATTTTGTTTAAGATGTCTATATAAAGCAATGGCTATATTATGTAACAAAAAGTTACTTTAAAAGACATACATACTATCAGTTTCACAGGACAAACATAGTGAGTAAGGACAACAAACTCCAGAATGTGTTTTTATAACTGTAGCAACAGCAATAACTCCTTGGCAAACTCAAACACTTTTTTTGGCAATCCTGGAGGTTTTCTGCATTTGTCACTTGGATACAACTGCGGAAGGGCTGTTTAAAACTGCTTTGTTTCCTTCCACACCATTTTACTATGACTTTGCTTTTAAGGAAGAATTTTCACATTTTAACCTATGTGTGAATAAAATTCCATTAAAATCCCACAAGGGAGTTTTATACACAATTCCTTATGCCTATATATACCAAATGTGGTTCCTATATAATTTTTGTAAGGAGTGACCTTATAAACTTTTGAAATCTATGCTAATAGAAAATTATTTTTTTCTCTTTTAAGATGATAAAATGAATTCTCTTTATGAATTAAAATTACCTACATATGCAAATGTAATAATTTTCTGTATATATACAACTGGGTCTGCATATCTGTTATCATTATGAACATCTTTTAAAATAAGACCCCAAGGACAGGAATGCTTTACTAACCTGCAGTGGTCTCTGTTTATCACTGCTCTTAGGAGATTTCAATCCACTTGTTTGCTGCTGTAAAAGAAGTTGTCTTGCTGCCTGGAGAGCCTAGAAGTAAAAAGGGAACAATATCTAAATATTTGGTTAAAAGTTAAATTTACTATCAGTTATTCCTCAGTTAATAATAACAGGCTTCAATGTATAAGAATCCTCATCTTCCTTTCTAGAAGAATCATTCTTTATCTTCCAATTTGCAAAAAAAAAAAAAAAAAAATTGCACACATGTATACAACTTTTCTCAAAATCACAGAGATGCATGTAATCCTGCAGGAAATAAAGTTAATTTGCTTAAAGTGCCTAAAGAGGAAAAAAATCATAAACTGCATCAATAACCTCATTTCCACAAGGAACTTGTCTTTTAGTGTTCAACTAAAATGCCCACTCCCTTTAAAATTATCATTCAATTTGCATTTTCATATTACAATTTTGAAGCAAAAGCAGTAGACTTCAAGTGTTACCGGAAGCTGTAATTAAATTTGACAAATCAACATCAGATTATCTTGAAAGTGAATTAATAAGGATTTTCACTAAAGATTAAAAACACTTTTTTTGTACTTACAATTCAAGGGGAAACCTCTCCTTTGACAAAATAAAGTGCAGTTTTAATGCCAAATAAAATTGAGTGGTTTTCATTTGCATTCTTAGCAAAATCAGAGAACAAAGAAATTACCACTCAACCAATCAGGTTTGTTTCTATGTGTGACAGAATACCAATCAAAACAGAAGATGTTTTCATTTATTTTTATGTTTTCTTTCCCACTCAGGAAAATAAAACTTAACATAAGAAATTAATGTAAACATTTCATTTAGTGGAGGGGGGAGAATGATTTGTAAATGTACTATATAAACTTATATAGAAACTAGTGACATAAAACAAAATGCATACTAAATTGTTTTAAAGGTAGCAGTATAAACTAATTTTTTTTAAAAAAACTTTCCAGAACCTCTTTAAAAATTCATTTTCTCTCTTAACAACTGAGTTCAATGAACACTAGTGATGAAATTTTTCAGCATATAAAACTGAAATAAATCATTGCCTTACTGTGTTATTTTACTGTTTTGGAATACAAGATAAATTTTTCATAATGGGAAAAACATTATTATACTAATATTATTCTATAAAAATTAAGATTCTCAGCTGATAAAAAGTACAATTTTGATTGGAATCAATGATCTGGTTTTTAAGAGTTTCTAGTATCCATGACAACAGTTGCTTTGACAAGATGTGCATATGGCATTACACTGCCAGCTGGTGTGAACAATGTTTGAACTACTGCATTGAGATGCTGAGCAAACAGAAAAAGTTGCCACGTCTTAACCCTCAGGGAAGGCAGTCATCCCCTGATCAATTATGAAAAGACAGAGAGAGGGCTGCTACAGTCTGGCTCCAAGCAAGTTTTTAGAGAAGGCAGGCAGGCATAGAAACCAAAGTAAACAAACTGAATGCACTAGCACCATCTCCTAACAACATTGATTTGTCTTCCCATAGCAGGATCTGGCACAGTTTGTAAAGCACACTTTTTACATTTGAAGACACACTCACAATAATCTTCCTTTTGTTTTTTAAACTTTTCAAGTAATTACAAGTCTGCCTAAATATTTCTAAAGAAGGCACATTCCAGTGAACTCAGGCAATTTATGAGAGTTCAGTTTGAAGAAAACACAAAAAATAATCACTTTATTATCACAAACCTATTTGAAAAATTTCCACTTAATATCCTAAATAATATCCCATTCTTTTAATTGCAATTTATAAAATAACTACAATATTTTTTTCAAATGGAAATTACAATAGTGTGACCTATGTGAAATTCTCAAAATAAAAACATCAATTTTTTTCCCAGTTGATGCCACATAAGGTTTGCCAAATTTTTTTCATGTAATTGCTTTTTTTCTCTTTGAGTTGATTAGTTTATTTTGTATATATACAGCCTTATTTGTATTAAATTCTGTAGTCATTTATTATCCTTAAAAAATTCTAATGAACACAGTTTACAATATTGAAATTGTGAATGACTAAGATTCAAAGCAATCTTAGAAATTATCTAATCTGACCCTTCCATTTTAGCAAATGAGAAAAATGAGGCCTAGAGTAATCAATTGCTTTGTTCAAGGTCACAAAGCAATTTATGAGTGCTTTGTTCGAGGTCTCCTGGCTTCCAGGCCAGAGTGCATTCCATTGTGCCATATTGTCTCTATTCTGTCAAAGGAATCCTCAGATGGCAATGAATAAAATTCTAGAGAAGGAGAATATATAAAATCATAATGAATTATTCTTTACCTGTAAAGAGAGCATATCCATTTTTCATAACTTAAAAGGGAAATTACAATATAATCTTTTCAAGTCTTAAATTTGTAAGTGAATAGAACAACTAACACAGAATAGATACTGTTTTTATGGCTAAATGTCCCCAATATCCTTAACTTGAATTTCATTACATACTTCAATGATACCTGATGGAGTTCTAAACTCTTGTGACATCCCGATTATCTGATTAATTATTACCAATAGAATTACAGAATTCTAGAGCTGGACAAAACCTTAGAAATTGCCTAGCTTTCTCATTTTGTAGACAAGTAATTGAAGAACCAATACTACAATAACTTGATTAAAAGTCACAAAGCAGTAGCAGCAGAGCCTTGTCAAAAACTCAGGCTCTTGTCTCCCAAGCCTAGGACTCTGTCCATTTCACCACCCTACATTACATTAAGTCAACTCAACCTAAGCAAGCAACCAATGGAATATGTAAATGCTAAGTAATGGCTATAAAAAAAAAAACTCTAGAAAATTAAATATATTAGAACTTCTGCTCATGAAAGTATCACTAGCCAAAGTAACAATAATAATAGAACATCACAAGATAGCTGGCGAAAATATGCTTCTACTTTTAAAGTATTTTGGTTTTCATATGCATTTCCAGTTATTTTTAAAATAGTTGAGGATCATCTTTTAATACAAACTCTTATAAAAAATAACTTCCTGCCTATTTCAACATTCTTTTGGTAGCAGTAGAGATTGATATAGAAAACATAAGAGGTGGAAGAACAAAAATACAATTCCAGGAGATCAGGAATGATTTAAAACTCATAAGCAGAAATCTCTGGCAGTTTGCATTCTAACTGCATGCATCATATGACATTTTTATTTTCAGTATTCTGGATAACACTTTAGGACTGTATTTCAATAAACAATTGTTCAGAGGGGTTTAGTTCATCTTTGCAATTTATTTTAGCTACACAAAAGATGAAAGATTATGAGATAAAACACGTCCATCAATATAAAGTGTTAGGTGTCAAATTACATGAAATATTAATTTGAAAACCACTTGCTACTTCTACTGATAAATACGAAAGATAAATTTCAGGGCCATTCATAAAGTTCTATGAGCTATTTAGGCATTTATATGGTCCCCCCCAGCAACCCCCAAATAAATTTAGAACAAAAGTCAAAAGTTGTTTACAAATTTTCTTTCATGACTACAGAATCTGATTCAAATGAACAACAAGAAAGAGATTTCTAAGGCAGTCAAACCATATCTAGTTTCTAAAAACACATTTGTTTTGAATTAAGGGTGCACTTTACTTAATGAAGTTATCTAATTTAGGGAAAGCTAAAGAAAATTAAGATAGAACATTTTAAAAATTGGAATCAGATTAAATTTAAATATTTTGAAAAAAATCTTTATAACAGACTACAGGTATACATTTTGTTAGACTGCAGAGGTATGAAAATGCACATGTTTTCTATAATTAAGTGAATTTTGCTCTAAAATATTTATTGAAAACAACATTCCTAACAGTTACTGTGTAATTTTAACTAAACTTTTATAAGAAAGGCAAAGTTCAAGCATATTACCCTTCTCTAGTAGTAATAACTTTATGCTAGTTATGAACCTCACAAAGAGCAATTCTAATGTGCAGATCATTGTGAGAATTAATTAATGATGAAAAAACTTTGTAATCTGTCAGATATATACTTTTCTTTTCCTGAAGACCACTGTAAACTTTAACCAAAAATAAAATTATTTGAAAATAGTTTAGAAGTAACCAATAAAACTAAAAATGTTGAGTATGTTAAGGTTTATAAATAACTTCTTTTTTTCAAAGTATGTATATTTGGGGAAAAACAGACATCAGTTATATCTCTCCCCATAAAAATAGGAATGCTTAACCTATCAGCCTGTTGCATTTGAGACATTAAAATGAAAAATGACATCTACGCCCATTAATATCTTCAATGTATAAACAGCACAGCGTGACACATTCTTGAGAGCTGAAGGCTACAAAATCTCTCTGAAACATAAATAACAAAGCACTCAGAAGCATATTTGATGTTGATATTCATCTCTGAGAAAAACACTGTTGCCTAGGCTTCTTATGAAAATAGATGCAGCCCAAATGGATCTCCTGTAATTGGTTTCAGATAGCGGGGTCAGAAGAAATATGATACAAGAAACGATTATGTGGAACAGGCGAAACAAGAATGTTTACACAGGCACTCCCTAGTTATACTGACAAGGGGTATACACTTTGCAGATAACCAGAACCAAAAAAAAAAAAAAATTGTCAGCAGGACATCCAGATTTTTGCTCCCCATATTCATATATTTTAACCTTTAACATATTATGTCTTCAACATGTTACTTTGAATACCGAACATAAAATAAGTTTTCAAAGAGGGTTTCATTTTCTAATTATTTTCCCAGGTGTGGCTGATAAAAAGTGTATTCAGATCCTTCCATAAAGAATATGAATTCCTGTTCTGTTTGCCCTTTCTTTGTATTATGCTCCCACTAAAGAAAATATACTGATAAATGTAATCTGAAGTCTCATAATGTTATTTAATAGAAGAAAATTAATCACCTAATTTTCATAATCTATTTTCAAATAATAATCTATCAGAGTGAAATTATGCATCTGTAGTTATTGACCCTTAATTTTTTCATGCCTGATACATAATTAGACTACATTTGTTGAAAAAAGCTAATTGTTAGAAAATATTTTTAAAAATAATTATTTTTTTTACAGTATATTTCACATAAAGTTAGA